ACGACGCGGAGACTACTGCAGAGATGCTGATGTTGGCGTCAGGGCGTTGATGAACATATTCTATAAAGAGACAAGTGAATGTAAACATTATTAAATATTCTTAAATAATACGTAATACTAATCGGACATTTTGACATGTGCTAGCGGAACAAAGTTCCTGCATGTGCATCTCTTACTATCATGGGAAATTATAATTAAACGCAAACAAAGAACGATTTTGCAAGAGAACAATATTTCGATGTCTAAGAAACATGAATTCATGACAGCGTCGACACATATCCTCTGTAAACAAAATCACAGGCTGAAAATGGCGTGGAGTCAGTGTGGGGTATGACCACCATTAGCAGTGACACAAGCTTGACAACGGGGAGTGATGGGATGTTCTGTTGTCTTGTGAAATCAGTGACCACACCACAGGGCGTGCACTGGCCTGCTGTAAAGTGATGTGACGTTCATGGGGCTGAAGGAAAGAATGGCGTGAGAACGGATAACTTCGTCACGACACCGTGTAGCTATCAAATTGGCATCGATGACCACTAGATGGGCCCTGTGCTGTGCAGTGATGCCTCCCTACACCATTTCAATCCCCGAACGTTGAACAACAAACGCGACAGCGTAACGTTCCACCCGACGTCGATAAACACGCTGACGGCTATCGCTGCTGTCAAGATGAAACCTGGACTTATCTGTGAAATGGACCGCCCTCCAAAACCATGCGAGGCGTCCAGTTCGATGGCGTGGCAGCAAATTTGGACGTACAGATGACGTCGTGATCGGATTGATGCTCTTGTTATCGATTCCACACAGTCCTTGTATAAATCGGACGTAAGCCAGGGTGCTGCGGGCTGTCAACGTTTCAGCTTGAAACCGATTTCGGAGGTGAACAAGACGGATATGATTATCTTGCTGACGGGACATTATCCGTGGACGTCCAGAACGAGGTTGGTACCTGATGTTGCCGGTTTGTTGGTACCGACCAAGAGTGACTGTTCGGTACGATAAACACCAAAACGCATGGCAACAATGTTTTGAGCAATTCCGGCATTAAGCTATCCAATTGCACGTAACCGCACATTTTCAGATTGGCGTGGCATAGTGTTTACGAGGTTTGTCCGTCAACAGTTGCTTTTCACAGTTAAAACGCTTCAGGGAATAACTCTGTGTTTGAACTGACTCTACCCCAAGTGTACTGTGAATGTGCGACGAATTTCTTTCTCATGGGATTTTAGGCATGCAATGACCGGGATGCTCATGCAATTTCAGGGTCATCATGACAAAGTGTTTGTACATGTGATTACCCAATCTCATTAAAATCAGATCTTTTCTAGCTACCGCTAAGCGAGAACTATGGTCTGATTTTAGATGTGTGAGAGATTGTGTGATTACCATGCATGATTCTGAAATTCCGTGGCAATTTTAGTTTAATTTGATGTACCGGTATTTGTGGTGCACAGGAATTATTTTCCGTAAATTTACATGCGTGAGTCAAGTCGTAAGTCGCCTTTAGCAACAAGAATGGGTTTCGCACATTGTATCTCATCACGCACACGTTGACGTATGTCCGACGGCGTGGGTGGTTGCTCGTGATGTCCAGCCAACGGTTTGCCTTATCCAGGTCACCGTGCATGATATAACTGGAGTGAGTGAGTGAGTTGGGTTTAAAGCCGCTTTTAACAGTAAAACAGTTATGTCACGGCGTGTCAGCTGAATGTGGGAGGAAAGCCCGAAGTGATGCATGTCTCAGACGTTTACAACTTCGGTGAAACCCACGAGCACGGTTATGGTGCTGACAATTGGGGCGAACCGGGATTCGAACCAACAATCATAGGTTTCAGGCGTGCCCAAGGGACGCAACTCTGCACAGTGAATCCTTGCGCCTTAGACGACTGGGCCACCTGTGCCCCCGATATAACTGGAATGATGCAGCGTTAAACAACATTTACGGAAACGGTTCAATAGTGTAAAACGCTCAGCCATATTTACTTACCAACCGCCAATGTTGGCAAATATGTTGCGGCAGGTGTCTCATCAACCATGAGCTCCCCATAGAATATATTTTGAGTTGGATTTGTCTTTTAATGACATTTTTTAAGATTCCTGACAGTAACTAATTCCAGATTCGTCGCCAAAACGGTTTTGTTGATATCTTTATCTTGTTTCTTTCTTCTAAAATCAACATGCACACGTGATTAAATAAACAAAAGCATGATCACAACGCACTTACCGGGTGTGTCGACATTATACATTTGACCGGGGCAGTTGAAAGATGATGACTCAAACATCTTGCTCTTGTTTCTGGAATAAATACGTTAATGAAAAAGATGATTGAAAGATGCAGAAGAATAACAAATCCTCTTGTCTCTAACACAAATGTCATGAAAGGTTTTTAAATTCGCCGTTTAAAAGACGATGCACATTGAATTACCTGCGTTACACGAGAAGTCAGCGTCTTTCTAAATCGATATGTTTTAATGTTCTCCATTTTTGACCTTTGAAACAGTACATTGAGACTTGCCCTTTATAATACTCTTTAATAGCTGTGACAAACTGGAAAATTTTGAATAATTCTCACTAACTTTTTAAACGATATATTTCCAACCATTCCATACTTTATGTATTTCAATTATAATTCTGTAAACAATGTGATATTCTCAACTAATGTGTACAAAATGTATGAATTAACTGTTGAAGGGGAATCCACCGCACTGATTTTCGAATCCGCTTCATCTTTAAATTATTTTTTAATGAATATTTTGGGTCATAGAGAAAATGGCTCCTTGCGAAATGGCCCCAGACCATTTGGGGATGCAGGATATCCAGTTTGAGGTGGAGCGCCATTCCAATGCGTCTATTTAAGAAATAAACGACGAGTGGGGGTTGTTTATCGTTCAGTCAAACACTGCAGGGGGAGTATACCATGAGGTACCAGGAGTAGTTTATTTCTTATGTGAGATCTCAACATTATATACGGCCTCTTTAAGGATGGCGATACAGTGTACAAGCTTTAAAGAATATTTACCCGTATTCAAATAATGATGACTCCCACAATAGAATCCGACCTCGGGAATGTCGCATATTCTCAAAATCCTTATTTCGATAACCTGTATCTTTTCTCCCAATACCAATTGTTATATCTCTCCCGATTTGGGGTGCAATCAGCACTTAGCAATATTACAGCTATATGACGGATGTATTTAAATAATCGAGTCTGGACCAGACAATCCAGTGATTGACATCATGAACATCGATCTACGCAATTAAGATACAATGACGTGCATCAACCAAGTGAGCGAGCCCGACAACCCGATCCCGTTAGTCGCCTCTTACGACAATCAGGTTGTCTTTTACGGCAAACATGGGCTGCTGAAGGCTATTATTTCTTCCCTGGATCTTCACGGGTAATAATGAAACCTGTTTGTGTTGTTTTTACTAAACTTTTGTAATGTATACTGCGGTGGCCGCACTGCTTGGATTGACTCAGTGTCAAAGTGATGACCAGTTCCCAGGGAGAGATATTTGCCTTGTGGCGTCTGTACCAGGATGGAATCTCCTGACATCAGACATGCTGTCAATCTGTTCAAATCTCTTAAACCAAAGTCACAGTGACCACTAAACTCAGACAACTGAAACAGAGCTATGACAGTGCTGCTCTTGAGAAAAGACTTAAAGATATTTGTTGTGAAATGAATAAATATATAAAACATACAAACTGTATACTGTAAATCGTGAAATTAACGCGAGCGTGAATTAAATGCGAAAAATGCTAGTGGTCTTTGCTCGTATTAATAAACATCGCATTTATATCAACAATAAGACATTTTGGTTAGCAGAAATACCAACTTAGACATACGCTAAAAACAAACCACTAATGTACTTTGTTTTATGTAAAATGAAATAAAGTAAATTTAATACATAGAACATTGCGTATATTGGGTATATGTAAATTTACTATGCGTTCACATGCTTTATTTAGGTATGTAAATAAAGTATGTAAATTGTGTAAGGCACACATATTCGTCATTCTGTTCATGACTTTCAACACAAAACAGGTTGTTTGCCAATCAAAGTATAATGCGAAGAGAGTTACTTTACCGACAATTTTCGCGTGAAGCAACATGTGTTTGATTTAATTTGTACACAAATTTTGACTCCTTGAAACCAAAAGAAAACACAGTCCGCTCAACTCTGTATATACGCATAAAAGTTGGCAACTGTTGACAACTTTTGGTGTTGGCGAGAGAACAGATATTAATTAAATCACCCTCTTACGTTGACATAAACGTTCACATTGCAACATATACACACAGTGCAAATTTAGATTTACATTTGCATCTGCTCCAGACATGATGCAAATTTGCTCCTGGTGTAAATATACACACATGAGTAAACGCGTTCACATGACAAGTATACTCACGTATGTATTTCTACACACGTATGCACATATACACACATATGTACGGAGGCGCATGTAATCGGGGTATAAGGGTGGCCCTTTTTTGCTTTTTATTGTGGCTCTTTTGACAAAATGTGTTTGAGGACTTTATACGTGTGGACCACAACCCGTCCGGTGTAGTTCCATCCATGTTCGAATACGATAAGCAGATATTTGAGATGGAGACCATGTGACCGTGTAACAGACAATGTGACGCAAAAATCACCGCAAAATAGCTTTAAAAATTAACTAAGTTTCAAATAAACTAAACGTATTAACAATAAATAAACTAAGCGTCTAGCAAATCGCCACAGTGCGGACTTTGTTAGTTTTGTTTCTCCTAAATGTTTATTCATTCTCCTGCACCCAAAATATTTTGATCTGTAAATCATTATTTAACTAAGGGATATAGACAGAAGAACATTTATTTTAGTGATTCCAATTAAAAACATATGTATAATCGGAAAAGACGAAACAATGTACTCTAAAACATGATGAGTAAAATGCAAGCACTGGTCGCAACATTTTTTAGCGGTCAGCAGCTCGTTGCTCTTCAGTTACCGGAGGTACAGATTGCACTCATCCAAGATGGCGTCGTTTTCAGAAAGTGACGCGAAAACCGAAAGACTTATCGCCGATACAAGTGTAAGGAATATTGCTCAGATTTCTTAGTTTATACAGATGGAATTGTCAAGTTCAGTAATACCAACTTTGTCATATATTTTAAATTCCTGCACGCAATAGGAGGCAATATTTATCTGAAATGAAAGCGAAATTGGTCCTTTGTTCATAGTGTCTACACTGTTAGCCTAAGTCTCAGTCTCAGTTTGCATGTTTACGTCTAACACACGGGTTCCATTTTTGTTACCTGGACCCCCTCCCCTGTGATTGACTCAATTATCACCCCATTTCTTTACGGAGATTTGTCTTAACCATATGCTTCCTGTAGTCTCTTGGTTTTAGTGTATTTTACAACTATCTTCGTCATACTTGTGGGTCAACAGTCAAAATAAGACCCTTTTCACTGCCGAAACCGTGAACTTCATAAATTGGCACTAATAAATCTATCTGATAATCTAGATTAAAATTCCAGTGGAGAATGGCGTGTGATCTGATGTTTTAAAAATAAACATTTTTCTGAAATTTCAGTACCTGCTCACAAAGATTTCATAACATATATATTCTCTGACATAATATATAAGTTGCTGTGATAACTGATATGCCTTCAAACAAATGTATTGCCTATAAACAAATGTATGTCAGACAACAGACTATAGATTATTGATGCATACACAGGATATGTCAACAAGTTTAAAGATAGAGTAGTAAGATGCAATAATTTTGCATGCATAAAAATATATGTACATGATGTAGATGGATAGATAAATAATTGCTGGGGCAATAGGTACCCAAATGTTTGTTAATACAGCTGTAGCTTACCATACTTACAAGTCTGCAATCATGGCTATGCTATGTTGACATTGACGTTCAGCTCACATGGTCATGTGTAATTGTTTTTTATCCATATTTGTGTCCATGTGGAAAATGTAAAACATAGGCAAACCAGGGAATAACTATGCTTAATAACAATGCTTAAATTTTCCTAAAAATTGGAACTGAATTAACTGACAGAAAATGTGAACAATGGTAAACATTCTTGTCTCGATCAAGCAGGGCTAGCTACAAATTCTAATTGCTGCCGGGTTGATCATTGTACCAAAATGCTGATGTATTTGTGATGCCTTACCCAAACTATGGATTGGACTTTCCTTGTTTGAAACAAAACTTTGTGAATGAGTGAAGAAATGGGACCTGCAGTGGAAATTATTTGTGTTCATTCTCAATTATTGTGTGTATAGGACACAGTATGTTACATCCAGTTGAACATATGCCAGATAATAAAATTATTGAATTACTTATTTTAACATTTAAGCACATTGTAAATTTAACACTACATTTATAGGCTTGCAAGATATTTTATATCAGAGCATCATTAGTTAGGATTTACCATGATTACCAAGTGTCATTTAATCTTATAAGGAGGGAGAAACAGCACTTGCAGCAGCACAGGATTATCAACCTGTGGACGTTCCAATTCAACAAACAGAACAGTCCAAGGATGACAATACTACCCAGAAACAATCAACATCAAAAGAATCGGAAATTGAACCAGCTACTGAAAAGAAGTCTATAGCTGATTCAAGTCAAATGAAAGGAAGTACCCCTGTGGCAATTCTTGGCAACATTGTGGACTACCCAATCACTCCTGAAAGCTCAGAAGATGACCAATTGGAGGTAGATTCGGTTAGTCTGGTAAACAAGGAGAAAGAAACAGAAGCACAGGCACAAAATGAAGAAAATACATGTGAAGACACTAAACCTGACAGTGTCGAAGGACAACAATCTAAAGAGGAGTCTGTAGAACATAGTGTTGAACCAAACCAAGAAACGTCAGTTGCTGATAAAGTGTCTGAGAGTATAGAAACAACAGAAACTAGTGAGGAAGTTTCAGCAGGTGATACTGTGAGTAAATATGTTAATTCTGATAGTGACAGTCATGAGGCAGAGCCTGCAAAAGATGATAAATCAGGCTCTAAAGATGATTCAGAGAAAGTTTCCGAGAGTACAGAACAAACACCAAGTTGTGAGAAAGAGGAGGAAAAAGAATCTGAAATGAAGGCTTCAAGTGTACATGGTGACAATGAAGTTGATGATCTTGAAGAAGTTTTACTGGTTGAGGAGCCAGTGGAAAGACGGAAAGCTGGACCAGAGCTGGAAACTGAAACAGCAGTAGACGATGCAGAGACAGCTTCTCAAGGTAGTGCAGAGTTTCAACCCCAAATAGATGAGAAAACTGAATCAGAAGTAATGGATGACAGCAAGAATGAGGTGTCTTTAGTTCCCGAAAGTGAAGGTAAATCTGACATCGACAAAGAAACTCTTCTGGACACCAAGCCTGAGTGTATGGATGTGGATGGTGATGAATCCAACCAGGATGTAACCATGGAAACAGAAGCTGTGGCAGCTCCAGCAGCAGGAACTGATGCAGAGGATGGAGACTCTCTGTTACCTGACACAGATGGGGAGGTAAAGAGACCAGTGTCAAAGCCAAGTAGCTTTCCTATTACTGAAGCCTTCCTGGACGAAAACAGTCTCAGTCTTGACTGTGTGTTGGCCATCAGTAGCACGGTGCCTGAGGGGGAGACTTCTGTGGACATTTCACTGGGGGGGAGCATCAATGCATACAGTAAGGATAGTAAGGACTGTCCCACCCCGGCCAAGAGATCACGCCCAGGCAGTGTGATGAGTGGGGTAGAGCCAGATCCAGACTTGGATGATGATGGGTAAGTTTATCATGGTCATTATATGTAGTTTATAGAGGGTATCAAAAGTCATAGACTGGTCTCTAGTCCTAAGAATGCCAGGTTCCATTGATCAATGATTTGCATCACAGATTATGGTACTTGGTTTGTCAGAACTAAGGGGGTCACATTAACATAAGACTTTCTTTCCACATTACCGGTAAGCTACTAGATGATTAACAGGATTAAGGCATATGTTTCATATGTCATGGTCTGTCATCCATCGTATGTCCAAATCATCATCTCTTCAGACACATGGCAGAAGCTCTTCAATGTACTGAAACTTCACATACTTGTTCCCATCACTGATCATTCTGATGACACCCTAATTGTGTCATGAGGTAGGAATCCGATTTCAAAATGCCCAGCACAGCAGCCATATTGAGAAACTTATTTTTGACCGCTACTCAGCCATCTTTTTTCAAAATGTAAAACATTTGGCACATGTGTAGTTACTTGTGGGGCAAAACACATATTTTCCGTTTCTTGCAAGATTTTAACCCTTATTGACCTTTACACATTGGGACATGCTCTTAATTTTTCTTAATTAAATTAATTAAATTACTTTAATAATGAGAGGCAAACAGTGCCTATGTGCTGGTTCATCTCAAGTGGGAGGAGTCTTGATGTAGTTCCGGCCTGAATAGGCTACTGTGCTCATTTACTGTGGAAAGACCATGTTTATTAACTTCAGTATTTAAGGGTACTTTGGGAAGTAATCGCATTGTAATCAACCACTTATTGTAAGATGTAAAACAGGGAATGAATATTCAATATCAGCATACTGTTTTTATACATACTGATTAAACGTTTTAATTTTTTTTATTTTATTGTAAATTTAATTTGACGAACAAAGAGTTTTCTGCCATGTTGATGGCTTGCATCAAAGTTTCTTGTCAGTATTAATGCAGAAAGTATTTGAATAGCAATGCTGACAGCAACTTCTGTTAAGTGGCTGTTGACATTTTTAAATGTTGACTACATATTCAGGTGAGCTACAGTGCCATGAAACTATTTTTTTAGTTTATACTTAGTTTACGATGTTGACAGATACCATGAATGCCCTGACCCCAAATGGAATGACATCAACAGTGATCAAAATATTTAGATAACTCTTTTCTTCCCACTGAGCATCTGAGTAGGTATGGTAGCTGAAATGGTTTCAGTTATGAAAAACAGGAAGGGAAGTAACCATGGTAACTGACCTTTTACATGTTTATTTAAAAAAACCTCTGCTTTGTTGCATTATTAAATTTTGCCCATATTGCTCCCCCTGAACTAGTCCTGTGCGATTGTTTGACCACCAACCCTACATTTCATTGAAGGGAAAGCTGTAAACCTAATGCTGCCATATAGCCATGTTAGCCCAAATACTGTTCCAGTTGGTGTAAAGCCCAACTGATCCCCGCACATGCTCACCAGTCTAAAGCGAGAGTGGAGTCAGATTCTGTTTTGTGTGACTTACTTTTCACTACCAGTATTTTTAGAGTAAGGTCTGTTGAAACAAGTGCCACAGACTTTCGTCAAGTAGACGGTAGATCCCACCTTTGAGAAAATCATGATCAATTACTCTATGATATTCATCTTTATAACTGAACATGCCGAAATTGTTTCAACTTTTGTACAATTCACAGCAATAGAAACTAACTGTTTTAGTCCACTAGCCCTTATAATGATAGCATGTACCCAAACCCTTAATAATGGCAAATTTCTACAAGTCCTTAGGATACCTTAACTGTTGGGCACTTTGGCAAGGACTACAGGACTAGTGCCAATTTCTAATGCTGAATTCATGTTTTTGAATACAGACTTCTTGAATTACAGTGTTCATTGTTCAGTTGGTTGGTTGGTTTGTTGTTTAACGCCGCACTCAGCAATATTCCAGCTATATGACGGCGATCTGTAAATAATCGAGTCCGGACCAGACAATCCAGTGATTAATATCATGCGCATCGATCCACGCTATTGGGATCGATGACATGCATCAACCAAGTCAGCGAGCCTGACCACCCGATCCCGTTAGTCGCCTTTTATGACAAGCATAATCGCATTTTACGGCAAGCATGGGTTGCTGAAGACCTATTCTACCCCGGATCGTCACGGGTCTGTTCAGTTGGTATTGGTATTGTTATAAAGACTGTGAACTTAAAGTATGTGAAAAGGAACCCCATCAACAGGGTTTTACCATGGCCTACAAACTATCCATTCTATACGTATTGTGTATTAAACACATTGCTGCGTCATGTAAACTCTGCATTGATTTCATTCAAGTTTGAGTCGTTACAATGTTAATTGTTTCCATGGGACTTATGAACTATGTGTTGTCATGATAGCAACTTCCCAGCTGAGAGCTTGTTTGAGTACCAATGGCCGTTGGACGGTGGAGAGTGGTATATGCTCCAGGAACAGATCAGTGAATACCTCCAGATCAAGTCTTTCAAGAGGAAATATCCAGGTAGGTTGTCATTGTTTACAAAGTTTTGACAAATTTGGGGCAGGAGGCAAGGTAGTTGGCATGGTTGGAGGAAAAATAAACAAAAATATTTTTCTGATTTTTATCTTCAAAAAGTGATCTGAAATGTTACACTGTGCACCATGTGTGGTAAGGTGGTAGTTGTCTGTGTTTAGTTTATCATATTGTACAAACACTTATGATTTGCTGGATTAATCATGATAATAGAAATAGGTGTGTTTCAGATATATATTTATACACTTTTAATGATGTTTACTTTTTCCGATCAGCAGGTCTGTCACCAAGATGTGGCATCTAACAACACTAATACCTGGGGGGTTGGGCATTCCTAATGTATTATTTGTATAATTTGGCATCATGTATACTACTCATTAGAAGTTATTGAACACCAGATTTTTCATATGACTATAGATAATCATGACTGGTGGGTATTTCAACACACAGCCTTCCAACTGTGGATGTTCTTTAACTTAAGTAGTATGTGTTAAAACATACCATTGTATTATGATTCTTTTTTATTTTGTAATATAACTTATACAGAAAATTCTTTTATTAATCAGCATAAATTTGTTTTCGAAAATTATGTTTATCATGCTCATGTTACAACCTGCGCCATTAGCATGATTAGTGTAGCTTTTAGTGATTATCTTTTGTGATGTAAGATGCAGTGCCAAACGCCATAATCAATTAAGAAATGTATTGTTGTTTCCAAGAGCGCAGTGAATAGGTAAAGTTACGTATGTCACTGTTGGTATTTCAGACCTGTATCGCCGAACATGTGACAAGAATGAGAAAGACTTTCTGCGAGAGCGGGGTGTAGTGAGTGAAACACAGTCTGACTTGGGTGAGTTAACATATCACACGTATCATGCATGGCCCCCCGATACCCACCCAGCCTGGGACTTACACCACTCACTTGTCTGAAGCCTGAGTCAAGTCAAATTTCTTTCATTGTAGTAAGATCAGTTGGTATTAGTCCTTATCACAGCGGACCCGTGAAGATTCCGGGGTAGAATAGGTCTTCAGCAACCCATGCTTGCTGTAAAAGGTGACTATGCTTGTCATAAAAGGCGACTAACGGGATCGGGTGGTCAGGCTCGCTGACTTGGTTGATGCATGTCATCGATCCCAATTGCGTGGATTGATGCTCATGATATCAAGCATTGGATTGTCTGGTCCAGACTCGATTATTTACAGACCGCCGTCATATAGCTGGAATATTGCTGAGTGCGGCGTTAAACAACAAACCAACCAACCAACCTTATCACAGCGTGTATGATAAAACTAAATATACTGAAACTTAGGCCAAGATACAAGTTTGGACTGGTTGACTTGTGATTTTTTGGCACAAACTGCACACCATGATTTAACGTTATAATCTATGTTTACATTACACATGTTACGTAAACATGATAAATGCTCAAAGGTTGCAATATTTTCAAATGTTAATATGATATAAACAAGCTACCAAAAAGAAAGAAAGTTCAAATTCAAGTGGCTGATGAAGCTTGTGGAACTCCCAAGTACACACATGTATTACCATGGTTGTCAGATTAATTTACACATGCAGTATAGTAGACATTATACTAATATTGGATAGAAATATGCACTAACCTTCTAACTAGGGCCCGTATGATTTATTGTTTAATGACAAAAATGTATCTAGAACTCCACAAACTCCACACAAGTCACTAGTGCATTTCTTTCTGACTATGAACAAATTTCTTCTGACCTATATGTTTGAATAAAGATAAAGCTTCAGTCAACTTCAGTGTATGCATGACCAGATCATGAGTTTATCTAAATTCCTTTTTGCCAGGGCTCCGGTCAATACATTTCTAATCAGACATTTTGTACCTAATTTTGTGCCCACTTGCACAAAGCGATCTTAGCACTAAGATTATTGTAAGTCTATGTTAAAGTATGGGAGTTATGATCATCTTTGGGCTAAGATCGCTTTGTGCAAGTGGGCCCTGCAGCTGGTACCTGGGTAGGGTCAGGTAATAGGGGGTTGGGTACCTGGGTAGTACATTTAGACTCTTCCCAGCCCTACTGCCAACCTAGTTTTTGTAATGCATAAAGTAAAAGGTGAACAGTGCTGTGTTGTATTTATGCTAGGAGAAGTTCAAGATGTTTGGTCATGATCATGGCTTTAGCTTGGTGAGTATGGCTGTTTATTGTTTAACATACTCAGCAATATTCCAGTAATATGACAGCGGCTTGTAAATAATAGATGTATTGGCATCAATTAAGCTGCAGAACCAAAATGTCAAGAAGGTAAGGGGTTCACTTACAATGTTTAATGATACTGTGTTTCATCTGAAACTTGATTGAAAAACATTTCTTTTGCATTTTAAATTAATCAATGAAATTGATGGACTTAATCAAATGGCAAGCATGTCTGTTCATGCTGCATCAACGTATTCCTTCTGTGTAGGTGTAGAGGTTTGGCAATCTCATTAAAATCAGATCACAGTTCTCGCTATCACTAAACAAAGATCTGAGGACATCCCATTATGGGTCACGTCAGAACAACCTTTCATCCGACCAATCAAAGCGTCGCTTACAAGATCATGAAAGTGACAGTTGGAATGTGTTTTCTAATTGTGCAACCTCGAAAACGTTAACATGGGGTATTCCGAAAGACAGTTACGGCCCGTACGGCTGATTCCGTCAAAATTATCGTCTGTCTCTCGCTTCCGTGGGATAAATATTTGAACGGAGGAGGCATTGCACAGTACGTTGGGAGCACTGCCATACAATTGCAACCATATATTAGACATTCATGCATGTTTGTTAGTTCAGTTTTCAAAATTTTAATCGAGAACTGTGTCAACATATTTTTCAAGCGTAGTCTGAAATGGAAGTCGCCAGGTTGAAACAAGTGCCGTAAAGCTCGAGAAAGCTGCTTTCTAATTTGTCTGATGTCGACTTCTTGTTATTTGTTTTAGTGGTACAATGTTGTTTTCCATTAATAGTGCGGTTAAAGAACCTTATTTATGACAGTTTCAGAAGGAAATGAACAGTGGGTGAAAACAAACAGTGAAGTGGTAAAGGTTAAGATAATACAATCATTCAAAATCATTTAAAATGTCATGATACAATAGATATTTCTTGGATGGTATATACCTTAGTTAAATGATTCTCAAATTCCTCCTGATTCTTGATTGTTTACTTTATGATCAGTTTTCAAAACATCTCTGTTCTTATTTGTTGTCATGATAGTTGTGGAAAGGCAATGAAAAGGGCTGGAGTGGAACCATTGAGTGAATAATCATTCAGTAATTTGACCTGGACAGTCGGGATGATTGTCAACCAACGATCATGTCTTAATCAAACAAAATTGTTTCAAATTTTGAAAATATAGGATATAATAAAATCTTTTGCAAATTTATTTATATAAACATTACGACAGTTGCAACAGTTATTATTAACTTTTCTATTTTGTAATTCAAATGATTTTTTTGGTATAAAATCATAAAGAAGAATGAAGTTAAGCTATAAAGATAAAGCTATAAAATATAAAGAATTTCAAATAAATTATGTCTTGTGATCAGTAAGTTGATTGTATTTTACACAATTTTTTTATGACAACCCAAAGTTTGGCCTATTTGTTTCTTTTTCTCTCTATTTGCTGGGAACAATTAGTAAAATAGCATTATGGTACATTGGAGTTAATTTGCATTGATTTCATTACCAAGTGGACATTTATATTATTTGATAAATATACAATTGGTTCTGTCTCCTCATATCGGCCTTAAGTCCTTTTATTGTTATTATTTATTATGGTATTATCATGATTTTTTAGTGTGCTATTTCATGATGAGAATTGATTTTATAATAGTCAATTAATGCTTGATGAATAATGATAGATTAACAGATAAATACACTTACCTGCGGAGTGACCAGAAGCTGTCATCTGAAGTAGAGAAATGTTTGGTCTAAAGTACAATGGAGTGTGGTATTTGTAGTCCTGTGATGATCACATCATGGGTAATTAGAGTGTAAATGGAACAAAGCGATGTACCCTGAAGATTGAGTCAAATTTCAGCCTGTAAATTAACTTGTTTTAATCAACACGTTTGGCATCATCGGAAACCACAGGTTGTTTCTAATGTAATTAACTTAACCTTTGAGCATCATCCATTGATGCCGTCTAGCACTGTAGGATGTATCTATCTTGTCAGTCTGACACTTTAACCCCTTGAAATATAGCCAGTGTATTCATTTGTTTTAATTATCACCTCTATGATGATGTTTGGGTTAAATCTAAGGTCTTGTCGAAAGGTTTGTTTCACAGTCTCCTGCAACTGTGTTTGCGACGCTAATCAACAACTTGCTACAAGCATGCTGTGGCTGACAGGGCAGTGTGCCTCGGGGCTTTCTGCCACACTGAGCAGGATAGGGGTAGGTGTAGGCTTGGAGACTAGAGTTACCTCCCCTGCTGGACAAAGGGGATGGCTGTAGACTGAGGTGGACCTCTCACTGTGATGATTAGAGGTCAGAGTGGAGTGGGGGAAATGTAATAGTGCATGTGTCTTGGCTTGTCATCGTCTCATGGTGGATAGGGGTTGGTGTGATTGACAAGAACAAGGTTGCTCACCCTCAGTTCTGTCAGTTGAACTGCAGATGTTTAGTTGATTTAGTTCTAGAGATGGCAGCAGCCATGTTTCTGGAAATGGGTTTACATGATAGATACAGTTTACATGATAGATACAGACTTTGTCTGATCATGTTGTATTTAAGTACTAATGACAGTTTTTCTTCTGTTTCCTGGAGTAGAGTATTTTAAAATTAACAATGATTAAAGATGGAAGTCATTGTCATAATGTTAAAAATTATAGATTACGTGGCCATTGATATTTACAATACTGTAGTCATATATAGGACCTCAAAACCCTCCGAAGTTTTCGAAACTTTGTAGTAAGTAGGGCATTATGCTGTTATTTGTCTCGATGATGAAAAAAATAACAAAGTGACACCTAAATTTTCACAAGTGTAAATCTTTGATTTATAGAATGTATTTTCATGTTGCTAATCTTTGCAGGTTTGACAGCTCTGAGGAGTGAGGAAGTGTATGACTTAATGCACAAAGATTATTCTGAGAAGTACCGAGTAAGTAACAACACCACCAGGTCCTTCTTCCAACCATCAGTACATACATTCGTAGGCATGTTAAGGACAACACATTTTATGTGTATTTTGTGCCTGTGTCGGCAATTTAGCCACTTGTCCAAAGCCAGAGTCAAGGAAAAGTTGATTTCAGTTTTATCAGTATAGTTGATAATCATGATTTATAGTCCACATGTTAAGATTAGGATCTACGGACAATGGTGGAGACTGCTATGTCTATAGATAGATTTATTGATGAATACTTTATAATTTTATCATGTTTCTATATCAGTGACACATTTGCTCATTATCAAATTAACAGCAATAATATTATTTGTCATGTTTTTGCTTCAGCAATTAAAACATAATGTATGTTAAGGATATTCATGAGTGTTAGATTAGAATAATGAAAATGTCTGGGACTGGGATTTATTACTTTGTGAATTGATGTTGTTTGAGAAACTTACTTGCTGGTTGTATCTGCAGGAGTATGCCCATGTTCTGCATGAGAAGGAGAGACAGACTATCAACAACAAGCACAAAGAGTATGAAGTGGTATGTGTCAAATTCCCAATATGTGCTCTTTATAGATGACGAAATGTTGAATAATATAATAGGGCTGGCTATCGATATAGATCATAGATCAATAAATGAAAAAAATCGAAGAAAGAATGTTGAGCAAGTATGCAAGAAAGTCCCGAAAGAAATCAACATGTTTTATGCCACTGGTGAGTGATACATTTATGCATAGATTACTTTGTGGAGATTTGAGATATTAACAAAAACTCTTGCTTTCCACCTATATTGACAATAACAAGTGTGTTAAGGTAAAGGTAAAGGTAAAGGTAAAGGATCTTTATTTCATCACAGTAGTTTATGTAAGTTATTATCAATGACACAATTTTCATATTGATAATTGTTCATATTTTTTCCCATCGATGATAATCCGAATATCAGTCTTTTAAGCCAGCCCTTATATAAAGTCATTCTATCATGCCACCATTGATCCAGCAGGACCAACTCTGTATGGATTACAGGGCAGAGTTGGTCTTTGCTTTCACTTCTGTCAAATGATATGAAAATAAGGATTGGGTGATTGCAAGGGCTGACTACAGGATTAATATTACTGACAACAGTGTTTTACGACAGTGAATAAAAACTGTAACTAATATGTAATTTGATTGTTGTTACTGCATATTATGTATTATGCTAGGGCCCTGTTCCTCAAAGCACTCTTAGCGCTATGACGATCATCACTCCCATACATAAGTATTTACTTATGACAGTCATAGTGCTAATATCACTTTGTGGAGCATGGCCCAGGTACTTTTGGAAAAGAGTTCTGACCTCTGTACACTGTAAGAATAGTCCTACTAATTGTTATCTCAGTCTTCAGTAAGATATGTGAGAGTCACAAAAAGGATGTGAAGGATGAGGTGGCTATATTGTGTGACCTGGCCGGGTGTGTCCTTGTGGCCAAAAGCCCTACTAATTGTTATCCCCCGCCGCGCGAAAGCGCGAAGCGGGGGATATAGTATTCACGACCGTCCGTACGTCCGTCCGTACGTCCCACCTGTTTGTTGCCGCGATATCTCAAGAACTAAACACTGGATTGTCTTCATATTTGGAACTATGGTGTATATACAGACTCCGCAGACACCAGTCGGTTTTGGTGACCTTGACCCCATTTTCAAGGTCACAGCAGGCATATCTGCTTTTGGAGTTGGAAAACGGTGTTGCCGCGATATCTCAAGAACTAAACACTGGATTGTCTTCATATTTGGAACTATGGTGTATATACAGACTCCGCAGACACCATGCGGTTTTGGTGACCTTGATCCCATTTTCAAGGTCACAGCAGACAAATCTGCTTTTAGAGTTGGAAAACGGTGTTGCCGCGATATCTCAAGAACTAATTGCTGGATTGTCTTCATATTTGGAACTATAGTGTATATACAGACACCGCATACACCTGTCAGATTTGGTGACCTTGACCCCATTTTCAAGGTCACAGCAGGCAAATCTGTTTTTGGAGTTGGAAAACGGTGTTGCCACAATATCTCAAGAACTAATCGCTGGATTGTCTTCATATTTGGTACTATGGTGTACAGGCGGGGGATATTTCGTCACTCTGTGACAAATACTTGTTATCTCAGTCTTCAGTAAGATATGTGAGTCACAAAAAGGATGTGAAGGATGAGGTGGCTATATTGTGTGACCTGGCCGGGTGTGTCCTTGTGGCCAAACTGCTGTCAACCACTAATTTGCTGGTTGTAGATGTGATGTGTCAGGAATACCGATGACTGTTTTGTCCTAGTTGTTGTGTTTGTTTTGCAACCAGTAATTGTGTGTTTTCCTCTGTGGTCAGCCAAAACTAGACAAGGGCAAGATGGGAGCGTACATCAAGAAGGCAGTGAAGGCCGCAGCTGACTTCAATGCTCAGTTCCAGCGGGAGAGGCGGGAGGAGAGGAGAGCATACTTCGATCTGCAGACTTTTGTAAGTCATCAAATTGGAATGTTATTTGTGTTGGAACTCTGAAATATGAAACTTGATGAAATGTACCTCACTCACTCACTCACTCACTCACTCACTCACTCACTCACTCACTCACTCACTCACTCACTCACTCACTCACTCACTCACTCACTCACTCACTCACTCACTCACTCACTCACTCACTCACTCACTCACTCACTCACTCACTCACTCACTCACTCACTCACTCACTCACTCACTCACTCACTCACTCACTCACTCACTCACTCACTCACTCACTCACTCACTCACTCACTCACTCACTCACTCACTCACTCACTCACTCACTCACTCACTCACTCACTCACTCACTCACTCACTCACTCACTCACTCACTCACTCACTCACTCACTCACTCACTCACTCACTCACTCACTCACTCACTCACTCACTCACTCACTCACTCACTCACTCACTCACTCACTCACTCACTCACTCACTCACTCACTCACTCACTCACTCACCAGCAAAATCTTGCTATTTCTTGATGTTTGTCCCTGATGAGTATGATCAGTTTTGTAAGTGGAACTCTCAATCTCATTAACATCAGATCTTAGTGCATGCTATCAAGCATCGCGATCCTATTTTAGTGAGATTGGTGGAAATCCAGTGTTCGAGTATTGTAAATTCATTGATCTCCTTGATTGTTGTGTGTAGATGGTGCACTATCCAGCTGGCAGATACAAGAAGCTGCCTCCCGAGGCCACCAAGCCCGACGCATACCCTGTTCCTCTCATCCCTGGACAGTTCCAGGACTACTACTGCAAGTGAGGACAGCTTAGATAACATACAGGCTTCTTCATCACAAGTGTTTTATTGGCTGAACAAATACAATTAACTAATTCTCAGTTGACAGTAAATGGATGCATTCAATAATTCTTACGAATACAAGACTACCATAATATTATTGCCAGAAATTCTGTTTTTCGGCTATAAAAGAATTCAAATTTTCAACAGAAGTCTTCTTCACTGTCAACTATCCATAACAAGTTGAGATACTGATAGTATCTCCCTACCCAAAGCTCTTTCGCATGCATGAGACAGGAAAACCTCACTTCTTTCCTGTTTATTACAATATTGATGTCTTATTTCAGATACACAGCTGATGAGCTCCGCTACTTACCAATAAATACAGCTAAGTTCGACCCTCCCAAGAAAGTGTCCAATACCCTGGTGAAGCCGTCAAGTGACCCTGACTCGTCCGAGGTGGAGGACAGTACTGAGGTAATACACTGAGGTCAGCAGATATTTCTGGGTTTGTCATCACCTCCTGATGTGTGTGTGTGTGTGTGTGTGTGTGTGTGTGTGTGTGTGTGTGTGTTGTGTTGTGTTGTGTTGTGTTGTGTTGTGTTGTGTTGTGTTGTGTGTGTGTGGCATCCTCAATGCACGTGTGCTGCCTCCGAGCGGACACATCATCACATGATTATTGTCATCATCACACTTGCTTGGCCCGTCCCATTTATGACTCATAAGTCCCTTGGTCCAGTATCTGGTGCAAACATCTTGTCTTGTGTCTGCCACGAGTCCCTAGGTCCAGTTTCAGGTGCAAACATCTTGACTTGTGTCTGCCATGAGTCGCTAGGTCCAGTATCTGGTGCAAACATCTTGTCTTATGTCTGCCACGAGTCCCTAGGTCCAGTTTCAGGTGCAAACATCTTGTCTTGTGTCTGCCTTGAGTCACTAGGTCAACATCTTGTCTTGTGTCTGGCATTGTTCCCTAGATCCAGTATCTGGTGCAAACATCTTGTCTTATGTCTGCCACGAGTCCCTAGGTCCAGTTTCAGGTGCAAACATCTTGTCTTGTGTCTGCCTTGAGTCACTAGGTCAACATCTTGTCTTGTGTCTGCCATTGGTCCCTAGGTCCAGTATCTGGTGCAAACATCTTGTCTTATGTCTGCCACGAGTCCCTAGGTCCAGTTTCAGGTGCAAACATCTTGTCTTATGTCTGCCTTGAGTCACTAGGGCAACATCTTATCTTGTGTCTGCCATGAGTCCCTCGATACAGTAGCAGGTTACACAAAAATTAGTTTTGACTTAGTTGATAGCCACTCTTTGTTCCTATTAGTTTCATACACATTCACTTGCCATCTAGCTGCCTTCATGAGAACACATGACGCCAGGCAGCTTAGAAAAACCCTGGCCATGAGGTCACGTTTGCAAATGGACCTCATCACTAACAATGCTTTCCTACATCACCACAGTACTGGTATGTGGAGATTGGTCAACCACTTTTGACAACCACTCAGTTGTCCACATGATTCAGTTGTTTAGATAAGAAACAGTTTGCCAGTTCAACCAGGCCCTCAGTAATGTTGACAAATGTAATGTCATTTAAAAGCAACATTACATTACAATTTACTTTCTACAGAATGACCTTTGATGTTACTATGGAATAAATTTGTACATTTCTTTCAATGTATTTTTGCTCTGAAATGAACTTTGTGTGAACTTTTCCTGAAATAGGTCCTTTCTCATTACATCTCCCTTCATTGTAGGATAAAGTAGGGTCGGCCTCGGAAGCGGACAGTGACGGCGATGCCAGCAGTGACTCGGATGGGAGTGAGTCAGAAGCTGAAGAGACCAAGGAGGAACCGCTGGTATGTACAACTGTCTTTCTTCATGTCTATTGCAGACTTCGGACACGGGATGTTTGTCACTCGGAAAATGTGAATGTGAATAGTTTGTGAAGTCACATCTTGGTGTCTCCTAAACAGCTCCAGTTGGAATTCCCAGACAGAATTTGTGCCAAGTAACATATGCTTGTTTTACGAGGCAACTAAAAGTTATTGGATGGTCAGACGCAGGGATTTGGTTTATTGTGTGTCATCATCAGCATGGGACGTTGCTCATACTATCAACCACTGATTTGGCTGGTCCAGACTTGATTTCTTAAAGCTTCAGTGATATTGTGTGAGTATTGTTGACTGCAGTGTTAAACAATAGTCACTCTATCACTCTGTTCCTTTCCCTTTCTGTTGATATGGCTGTAACATTGTCATGATTGAAACACTCACACTTAATGCTACACAAATCTAGAATCTTTAAGATAATGTTTTGGTGATCTAACCTAAACACTCTTTTCTAGGAGTCTTTTCATCTCAACTAGCCTGAAAGGCCATGTGAGCTTATGCCATTATCACAAGTCAGCATCCTTAAACTTTCTACACTTTCATCTTCTTCTCCAAAATGGCGAAGATGTGTGTGTGTGTGTGTGAATGTTTGTCACTATAAAGGGTTTAAGTTTGTTCAAAGCATCAAACTTGGAATTTCAGTATGGCTGCCAGTTAGCCATCTTTGATTAAAAACAATAAAAGTTAAAAACTCTTCATCTCAAAATCTTAAACCTTGTATAGTACCTAGTTTGTTCAAGACATCTTGATTGGAAATCAAACATGGCTGCCAGTGGTCACATTGGAAAATGCAAAAAATCATGAGTCATCCATCATATACATCTCTACCTCAGAAACCACTTGACCAATGAAGTTGAAACTTGACATGCTCGTTCCCACCAATGAGGACACCTGAATTGGTCAAGAGCTTGGAATCTGATTTTCAATTATCATGACAACCATATTAAAAAATCTATTTGTCCATTACTCTCTCATTTTTGGTTTCAAAATGTCATGAAATTTGGTACATGCAGTGTTAGTAGTGGGACTCAATATATATGTTCCATTTCTTGTGATATTTTGAATTTTGACTTTCATCATGTTGATTTCGTTTTGCACTTTGACCTTGATTTGACCTTAATTTGCACTTTGCACTTTGGCCTTACTGAAAGCTGAAACGTCTTATGGCCATTATTCACACATTTTGTTTGAGAATGGAATTATATTTGGTATATGTGAAGTTAGTAGTGTGCCTCGACACAAATGTTCCAATTTTTGCAATATTATTAATTTTTACTTTAATTTGACATTTGCATTTTGGACCATGACCTTAAATTTTCTCAGCATGCATATCCTCGCACTGTAAACATCATCTGCTCAGGAAGCATTGAACCAGTAAAGTTGAAACTTGAAATGGTCCAAATTTTCCTTACGATGAATTCATATTTTGTTCAGATCATTAGGATTTTGACGATGGGAAATATTGTTTGGCATTAGAAGAATTATTCTTCTTAGAAGGTTTATGAGGCTCAGAGTTAAAACTTTGTGTGAAGTAAATGTAATTGTTGTTTATTGCAACAATTGTGCTACAGTAGTGCAGATTTAGAATTTTTTGGATAGGAACTATTTTCATATTATTTAAAACTTTTGTCCTCAGTATTTATTCAGAACCCATTTGAATAGCAATGCTGACAGTAACTTTTTTAAGTTGCTAATTGACATTATAAAGTACATTGTTGACTACATATCCAGGTGAGCTACAGTGCTTTTGCACTATTTTCTAGTATAAAAATGCTCTGAAGTGGTTGCAATTAATTGTAAAATTACTGATGTGTCGTAAAGCAATATTTGATTATTAATTCACTGTTATCATGATTAACTCATGTTGGTAACCTCAACTCTTTCAAACAAATAAGCTCTGTAGTAAGTGTACAGTACATCCACCTAGTGCACTCAAAACAACCCACTCGTCCCATAGTAGATGACCAGATAGGGGAAACACAAATATGTTCCTACACCTGAAACACAAGTCTCAAAACATGTGATATCACCCTGGGCAAGTGACTTACTGTATTCGACATAATAAGCGCCCAGGGCGCTCTCAAAATTAGAAATAGGGGACTCTTATTAGAATATCATTTTGTTGAGAGAAAAAAACAGAGTTGAAAGATGTATTTCATGGTTTATGCTGACAGCCTGAAATGTTTATGTAAGACAGATATATTTTTCCAGAATTTAATTGCCCATAATTAAGGGTGCATATAGCACACGAGTGCGTATCATACACGAATAAATAAGTCTTGTGTACATTGATCAATTGGAAGGGGTGCTAATTGGGATTGTTCACTAGCCAATATACATGTATTAGCAAATATTGCTGTAGGCGGTTATTAGAGCGGGGCGCTTATTACTTTGAATACGGTAGTTCAAATATACCCCTGTTCACCCAGCAGGGAATGGGTACCCGATTGTGAGGAGAGTGTAAAAAACCCTCTAGCACCTGTAGGCAGCTTGAGCTTGGGTGGACATATTGAATGAGTTCGCTTTGACACTCTGACTCACTGTGACCATTTACACCTAGGCTGAGCCGCTTCCTGAGGAGAAGTGTCGTATCTGCAACAGCACGGACCCCCCACCGCCGGAGAAGAAGGTCCCTCGGAGGAAGAAGGTGAAACAGGAGAAGTTGGCAGCTGACGACCAAGAGATGATCAAGTGTTCCGAGTGTGGGACTGTTGGTGAGTGGCAATTTAGAAGCTCACTTACTTTTCACTACCTACGCGGATATCCCCTTTTTGAAACAAACTAACACATTTGGTGATATATTAAACAGTATTAATAGTATAACTTGATATTTTCTGGTCTTATTGCATCCCCCTATATTTATGTTGCAGGACACCCGAGCTGCCTTGACTTGACCAATGCTATGGTGTCGGTGATCCGAACCTACCCCTGGCAGTGCATGGAGTGTAAGACCTGTGTGGAGTGTATGGACCCCTATGATGAGGTCAGTACATCAGATTTCATTCTTCTAGATTTGTACATGTTCAATACAATAAATCATGAAATTATTTTATTTGGTTTAATATGTGTGTTTTGAGGGAATTGATAAAGTATGTGAAATAAGTTGTTCATGGAACCAACCTTAAAAAACTTATGATGCTGGGGCCCAGCTTATTATTCCTTTCATTTTTTACAACATGAAAAGGGTTCACCAGAACTCTCTGCCCATATTTTAACATTTGATTATTGCCATCTTTCCAAAGCAAGTGTGTCCACTAGCCTATGTCAAAGCGTAGTTGCTACCCTTTCCACATCAAGGCCACTTTTCTTGGCTCAACCCTGGCGGCATCTCGTGTAGATCACAAGTTGTGCTCCTTGTAATGAAAACGTGATATCCATTCAGATCACTGTTCTCATCTCGTATAGCTTCACAAAGATGTCGACTACCATTGGCGACGACCTAGTCGATGAGATATATTTCATTCCTGACACAGGCAATTGTTGGGGTGTTTAAGAGATGAAAAAGACATTTGTGTCAACAAAGACAGGCAGCGGTAAATAACTTTCATACAAAGGTGAACCAGTCGTGGATGTTGATTTTGTGAAACGTTCTCTGATTGGACTATCGATGTGTGCTCGATATGTGATCACATTTAGCACAGGAAAGTGGGGTTGATGTGGCAAGGATGGAAACAAGACGTTGATAAAAAGGCAAATGGATTCCTTTTCCCCGGGAAGATGGACTATTGCATGCTATTGGTCAGATGAATTTTTTTCATTTGTGGTAAAATCTTATTCTAGCATCTTTAATAAACTTGGAATGGAAGAAATTCTTAATTTGATTGAGTAATTTCCTTGGGGTGATCACCTAACAGAACTTACTTTGTGAGAGTTAAATCTTGTGAAAATTATGTGCAAATATTGTGTGATTGTTGCAGGATAAGATGATGTTCTGCGACCGATGTGACCGAGGCTACCACACGTTCTGTGTGGGCCTGAGATCTATACCCACTGGCAGATGGGAGTGCCGGAGCTGCAAGGGAACAGACACACCACGATCGAGGTATTTGGGCAGGGAAACAACCCATGTTTTTTGGCCTTTCTTTTCAAGGTCACAGTGAATCTTCATTAGTCTGGGCCCAATTGTTCCAGGAATCCCATCGACCAGCCATTATAACTGGGTCCACTTGAATTTGTACATTGTGACATTAATCTGTAACCTTGATGCACTTCCTGAAATATGTAGATCTGGACAGTCCAGTAGGAATGCAACTGTCCGAACTAATGGAGGTTCACTGTACACATCTTTTCCAGTCATTATTGACCTGTAGTTTCTTTTCCTATCCATTCATTAAACAAGACTTTGGGTTGATTTGGAAATTTAGGGATCAAGTGACTCCTTACCTGTGAAATTGATTTGCCAGGTTTTAGAAATATAGTTCCAGACCTATGTTGATTGGTGGTATTTGTTTCAGGTGCTAATCTATCAAAATAAATAGGTTTGACCTTGTATCATTGTTTTTAAGCCTGGCCTCCCATTTCACTATGCAGGAGTATAGCTGTATAAAAAGTATAAACTGTGTGCATTGTGTTACACACCTGTGGGGGATCCTGGGTAAAACCATAGGCCCCCATCAACCTATACTTGGCGTATAAGGAGATTGGGTGGTCAGCTTCTCTGACTTGGTTGGTTGAATGCATGTTATGGTATCCCAATAGTGTGGATCAATGCTCATGTGATCAATCACTGGTTTGTCTGGCCCAGACACACTAATTACAAACCATTGTCATATTGCTGGAATATTGCTGAGTGTGGCGTTAAACAAACTTTGTTCTTTTTGAAGACAATCTCTCTATAACTATTTCTATAGTGAACAAAAAAGTTATGAGTCATGAATATTTTTTTGATATTCATTTTGTAGTAAGGACTAAGCGCAAATTTCATAAAAATATCCCCAAAATATCCATGATCACAAAAGTTTATTGTTCAGTATAGATCACATTGGAAACCCATGCCATTGCAGTTCAATATTCCTGTTTTTCTTGTTTTCAGAAAGAGGACGACCACAGCGAAATGACCATTTCTTTTGCTCAGCTTTTTACTCATCTCAAAACATCAACATAGATTTTCTTTTCATCACATTGCTTGGCAGCTACAGTATTTATGAACAATGAAATAAATTCTTTTATTGAACAATGATATCGACAGTGGTGTTTTATTTTCAATAAGGAATCTAAGAAGGAAATATGTGCCAGACATAAACTGAGACATGATACTTCAAGATATTCTTTCTTGACCAATATAATATTACTGAATAATTTGCAATGGTTTGATGTGCATTCTTGGGTTCAAATCTAAGATTAGCCAAATAATAATTCTTAATTTGTCTGGACCATATTTGAACTTGTGAGTTTCACCAAAGTTGTAAACAAGCATCTCTGAACTTTCCAGCAACACAAAACGAACATGCTGTGATAGAACTTAGATAAAGTTCAAATCAGTGTGAGTGAGTAGGTTGGGTTTAACGCCGCTTTTAACAGTATTCCAGTTATAAGTGGCAGCTTAATGTGGGAGGAAAGCCCGAAGTGATGCAGGTCTCAGATGTTTACCACTTTGGTGAAACCCACGTGCAGGGGTATGGTGCTGACAAACCTAGAAACATATTTAGGGCGAACCGGGATTCGAACCCACAATCATAGGTTTCTGATGTGCCCAAGGGATGCAACTCTGCACAGCGAATCACGGCGCCCTAGGTGACTGGGCCACCCGTGCCCCCTCAAAGCAGTATGAAAGGCACTGGGGTCCCTCACACAGTGGTTTCACGGGCATGCCGCCCCTACTAAAAAGCGGCTGGTACTGAAAAGATTGAATTATCAAAATGTTTATTTTTATTATGTCTCCTGATAGTATCAAGGACCCTATTATACAATAAAACATGTTATACATACATTCCATGTTGACATCACTATCAGTACTTCAAGAGGCCACCTGAAATTTTGAGTCCACGGCAGAAAGACTTTCATGTTCATATCAATAAAAAAAAAATTAAAAAATGATTGACATGGCCACTTGTTTTTGTTTTTATTTCAACCGATATAAATATCCGTGAAACAAAATTAAAAAAGTGTGGCCTACAGGGTGATGTTTGGGTGTAGGTTCTAACACCCTTATCAAGCAAGTATCACTTGCTTGATAACGGTGTTAGAACCTACACTGAAATGTTACTCTTAATTGTACAAAAGAAGTTGTTCATCCATATAACAGATCCTTTCTTAGTACTCCAAATTTCTAAATGCACACACTATTTACTGGTTCTATGATATCCTTAGCAGCTATGGTTTTGCTTTGGTTGAGTACACTATGATGCTTCTACATGACTTCTTGTAACTGCTGTGCTTTAGTCATCACATATTTGTCCTGTGCGCTTACACAGTATTTTGCCAGGGATTCATTGTATTGACTTGTCACTGTCTCGCTTTTCACTGAACAACACTTCACTGCAGTGGGGAAAGCAAGTGAGAGAGGTGCTTCACACTGCTGAGCAGGAAAATCAAGATGGCTGCTGATCACATTGTTTTGTCATGTTGATTTCACTGGTCTTGCTGGAGCTAGCATGTTGTCTAGGTTTACAGAAGACAGTTTCAGTGATTGTACTGGTCTTGCTGGAGCTAGCATGTTGTCTAGGTTTACAGAAGACAGTTTCAGTGATTGTACTGGTCTTGCTGGAGCTAGCATGTTGTCTAGGTTTACAGAAGACAGTTTCAGTGATTTCACTGGTCTTGCTGGAGCTAGCATGTTGTCTAGGTTTACAGAAGACAGTTTCAGTGATTGTACTGGTCTTGCTGGAGCTAGCATGTTGTCTAGGTTTACAGAGGACAGTTTCAGTGATTTCACTGGTCTTGCTGGAGCTAGCATGTTGTCTAGGTTTACAGAGGACAGTTTCAGTGATTTCACTGGTCTTGCTGGAGCTAGCATGTTGTCTAGGTTTACAGAGGACAGTTTCAGTTATTGTACTGGTCTTGCTGGAGCTAGCATGTTGTCTAGGTTTACAGAGGACAGTTTCAGTTATTGTACTGGTCTTGCTGGAGCTAGCATGTTGTCTAGGTTTACAGAGGACAGTTTCAGTCATTGTACTGGTCATCCATGATTGATGACTGTTGTCACTCATTAAGACCCTGAAGGTTAATCACTTAAAATAAAGTGTGAAGAGTAAGGTTATAACTTAAGGGGGAAGTTCACACAATTAATTATCTAAACTAATGATCTTTCACGTTTTGGGGACAAGACATATTAACCTGATTGACATGGATCTGGAAATGATAAAAATAATAATACATTCTTAAACTTAAAGATACCTGAATTGATTTTACATATTTCATGTTTTACAAAATTATATCTAAAAAAGGGAACTTAAAGATGGCTCAGTTCTCCTTGATAATGTTGCACAATGGTGCCAACTGGGCGCCATAAGTTGATATTTTCATGTAACTATACTAGTGTCTGTCTTGCAAATAGAAAGAAGGCCTCCAGAAATAATTCACATATTGTTAAATTTCAGCAACTCTGTTATTATCCACATGTCATTCAGGAGTAAGGTGTTTAGGTGTCATATTGAGAAATATTGAAACTAATTGCAACTTCAGACATGGATCGTGATAAAACATGTTTGACTTTCACCTTTGAAACCACCTCATGTATTAAAGATTGACAGTGGATGTGTTGTTGGTCTAGTTCATTATCATTGAGAACTTTTGCCCTTGGTGACTGGGTGATAGGCTGGCCTTGAATAGCTGTAATATTGGTTATGCAGTGTTAAACAATATTCACTGTCACTGTGATAAAATGTAATCTGATTTAAATCTAGACAGGAAGTAGACCACGTTTAAAAAATTACTTGACAAAATAACATATATACCTAATCAAGGTAGAATTATATTTTATTTCTCTTCACTTGTTTATTAAGAAATCTTGTACTAGCACACTGGGGAGTTTATTTTATTGATAAAACAATAATACGTTTTGTTGATGATACAAATATACGTGAGCAAACTTTTTTTTAACTTTGCAAATAATCCGAATTGAATACTGTATTTATAAGGGAAAACGGTGATAAATTCCAGAATATCTCAAAAGCCTTAATTAGTAATGCAACGTCAATTAGGCATGCCAATTAGAAACCAATCAAAAACAATGCGTCTATATCCTTTCTACGTGATACAATAAGTAAAATATATACCAAGCAAATTATTCGTGTTGCGCAACACCTGTGATTTCCCTGTCGATTGCGTAAAGACAACAAGAGTTGCTTCCCCTTACTCTCATCGTAAGAAGACTGCAAAAGATCGTCCTGTCGCTGTCAACATGCCGTTCATGCTGGATATACAGCTCGTTGTACAGGGATTCCTGTACTTGACAACTTTTGTCTTGGGTTTTGTTGTGTCTATACCACTCGGGGTTACCACGGTAGGTGCTGTCATCCATGTATTCTTGTGAATTTTACGAACAATATCTTGGCGGGTCGTCGGGTCATGGCGACGCCCCTCAGGGGTGTTCTTCATTTTGTTTGGTTGTAGATAAGATATCACCAGCTTTTCAGATGTTGATAAACAAATCGAAACCTCCAATGTAGTCCTAAATATTATAAACGAGTTCGGTGACTGCATGCACCCTTTCACAAATTTCGTGTTCAAAAGATTACAACATTTGCCTTGAAAGAAATTTAACCTAATCAGGAAACGAACATAAATTCATTTTTTGTGTGTGTAATAACTGCAACATCGCTACCTTATATCACAAAATGTGTGTCAAGGATCTATGCGATAGCAAATAAAGGAATGTTAAGCCATGCAGGAAGTAAATTCCTTTTTTACTTGTCCCTGTATTTTGAAAATTGACCAGTTTTACATTTTTACACTATATCTATCTCACATATAGTAAGTTTGTAGCCCTATTATTTTTTAATGTTACATGAAATGTAGATTCTTAATATTTAAACTTGTTCAATGTCCAGCTGATGTCTGTAAATTGAAAAAGAAGAAGTAAAACAAGTCATAGGATATGTATACTCTATGAACTTTGCTCTCTCTTAAATTGTTTCCTGAGGAAGAAAGATTTTACCTTGACTAAAAATTGGAAAAATATGTTATTCACGTTGAAATCTATTGCAGACTAACCACAGGCCAAATATAATAAATTATCACATAAATTTGGAGTGAGTGAGTGAAAGCTAGGTGCTAAATGCAGCTGTCAGCAGCCTGTAACTATTGGTTGGTTGGTTGGTTTGTTGTTTAACGCTGCACTCAGCAATATTCGAGCCATATGACAGCGTTCTGTAAATAATCGAGTCTGGACCAGACAATCCAGTGATTAATGTCATGAGCATTGATCCACGCAATTGGGATCGATGACATGCATCAACCAAGTCAGCGAGCCTGACCACCTGATCCTGTTAGTTGCTTTTTACAACAAGCATAGTCACCTTTTATGGGAAGTATAGGTTTCTGAATACCTATTCTACCCCGGAATCTTCACGGGTCCCTGTAAATATTGAGACTGGGCAAGTCAAACAAGTGAGTGAAAACATGAGCTATGATCCATCCATCGGAGCATGACGACCGGGTAGAGCATGACAACCCAGTCCTCTTTAGTACCCCTTGATGACAAGCACATATGACCTATTGTACCAGGATGTTCACAACTGGAGTCTTAGGTGAACAAATAAGACAACACACAGGCAATTTGTAAAATATATTTAATTTCCACTTGTGTGAAGAATACCTTTAACATGGGACATTGGTGCTGGCAAGTGTGTGATTTATATTCTCCCTGTCAATGGTGACGATGTGAACAAAATCTAGGATGACCATAAGGGCTTGTACAAGTCCAAATTTACTAACCGGGTAAGGGGTGGTCGGGTAGCCTCGTGGTTAAAGCGTTCGCTCGTCATGCCGAAGACCCGGGTTCGATTCCCGACATGGGTACAATGTGTGAAGCCCATTTATGGTGTTCCCCGCCGTGATATTGCTGGAATATTGCTAAAAACGGCGTAAAACGTCACTCACTCACTCACTCACTAACCGGGTACCCGACACCCTTTTACTCACCATAGGCCTCAAGAGTTGGGTACAAAATGTTTGATTGGGAATTGTTTTACTGGAGCCCTGGCAATAAGTATTTAGATACATATATAAAACATTCTGATCATACATACACTGAAGTTGAATGAAACCAGTTAGTGGTTGGTTGGTTGGTTTGTTGTTTAACGCAGCACTCAGCAATAGTCCAGCTATATGACAGCGGTCTGTAAATAATCGAGTCTGGACCAGACAATCCAGTGATTAATATCATGAGCATCAATCCACGCAATTGGGATCGATGACATGGATCAACCAAGTCAGCGAGCATGACCACCCGATCCCGTTAGTCGCCTTTTACGACAAGCATAATCACCTTTTATGGCAAGCATGGGTTGCTGAAGACCTATTCTACCCCGGAATCTTCACGGGTCCCAGTTAGTGTAACCATGGACTATTATTATCCGAAGTGGGAGGTGGATATAGGAATGGCTTCTGTCCGTCTGACCTTCCATCCATATTGTTTCGTTTCAGAAGCAAAACTCGGAAAGCGTTTAATATTTTATTATTAATTTGCATTTGTATCAAACAACTGAATTGGAGCCTTTTGAATTTGATGGTTGTATTTGTGTTTTTTAGGCAACAAATTCAAATACATGTAACATTCGTTTCTGGAACATAACTTGGAAACTGTTTAATATTTTATCATGAAACCTTGCATATGTATTAAACACATGCTGAACTCGATTTGATATTTCTACGGAATGAGCTTCACATAATGCTACAAATCTAGTGACACAACATTTTCAACATCCAACCAGCGGATTGATGGGTATGGGTAGCCTAGTGGTTAAAGCGTTCCCTCGCCACACCGAAGACCTGGGTTCAATTCCCCACAAGTACAATGGGCTTCAGCCCATTTATGCTGTCCCCCGGCCGTGATATTGCTGGAATATTTCTGAGACCAGCAAAATATATACTCACTTACACAATGGGTTGATGATGCTGAATTTGGAAGCTCTTTCTTTCAGATAAACTTCGGTGGACAGTGTATTCTTTATGGAGACATTAAGTGGCAAAATGCAACATATTTTAAGTACACGCCAACAGACATGCACAACTGCAACTTTTCAATATATCTCAATGTGTTCGGGTGTATCTTCTACAGCCTTGGGATGGTAATCTACCATGGCTATGCCCTGACAAGGAAAGACCCAAACATCGGGTGAGTGGAGCTTTTTCATTTCATTATGTGAATATTGGTACCATGTAGAGACCATAGCAGCATGTCTGGTTACATTTGTCCTCCATCTTGGGTAAAGTTTACATTTTCTAATTCTTCTTCCACAATGACCAGTGATGATTTTTATGTTTGTCGCACCATTGGCATAAGAGGCTTTACTGCCTTAATTCTGCATCAACTTTCCAGTTGAAAAGAGGGGCGGTCGGGTAGCCTAGTGGTTAAAGCGTTAGCTCGTCACGCCAAAGACCCGGGTTCGATTCCCGACATGGGTACAATGTGTGAAGCCCATTTCTGGTGTCCCCCGCCATGATAATGCTGGAATATTGCTAAAAGCGGCGTAAAATCGAACTCACTCACTCACAGTTGAAAAGATGGTAAGCCTTCTGACTGGGAGTCTTTTTTATTGTTGTTTTATTGTCATGCATATGGTGGTAGAGCTGGTAACATATTCTGTAAATCGTGAAATTAATGCGTCTCCAAAAGAATGCGACCGCTGGCCCCTAGTCAATAATGCGACTCAATATGAATGCGACACCCCCCTCCTCTCAAGCATCAGTGGATTTATATCTAAAGAAAATGTCCTCTCAGGAGAATCCTCACCCTCATCCAACCTTACATTAATCCAATCACACACCAAATAGTACCGCTCATTAGCACTGATTAGAATACTTCCGCTAAAACAATACATGCGTGCTCGTGTCGGCCTTTGACGCAGTCGCAAAGAACAAAGACACTGTGTTGCATGGGTGGCGTCTGTCTGGACTTGCAGGTGTGATCACTGATGACCTAAGTGTGTAGAACTCTTGTCTTGACCCCAGTGTGACAATTCACAGGATGTAATTAGTGTTTGAGTGGCATTGTTTATATACTTGTTACAAGTGCTGCTCAATAAACAGTGATGTGGAATACATAGTTGTTTGTTTTCAGCGTATGTCTGAGTTGGTATTTTTGCTATCCAAAATGTCTTATTGTTGATATAAATGCGTTGTTTAATAATGTGAGCAAAGACCACTTGCATTTTTCGCATTTAATTCACGCTCGCATTAATTTCAAGATTTACAGTATATGGCATTACCCTTTTTGATCACAGATCATGCAGATGTGGCATAACCCTTCTGTTGTTTCAGTTCACAGAGTGAGTGAGAGGTAAAATTGAATCATATCATCCGTTTTGCAGACTTATGGTGATTACCTTCTGATTGTATCAGGTCATAGAGGTGACCTAACCATTCTGATTGTTGTTTCAGGTCATAGAGGTGACCTAACCATTCTGATTGTTATTCAAGGTCACAGAGGTGTTTTAACACTTCTTATTGTTGTTTCAGGTTACAGTGTGAGTGTGTGAGTTTGGTTTAATGCTGCTTTTAACAGTATTCTAGTTATATCGCGGCGTGTCAGCTTAATGTGAAAGGAAAGCCCGAAGTGATGCAGGTCTCAGACATTTACCACTTCGGAGAAACCCACGAGCACGGGTATGGTGCTGACAAACCTAGAAACATAATCTGGGCGAACCGGGATTCGAACCCACAATCATAGGTTTCTGGCGTGCCCAAGGGACGCAACTCTGCACAGCTAATTGTGGCGCCTTAGACGACTGGGCCACCAGTGCCCCCTTCAGGTTACAGAGATGGTATAACACTTCTTTTTGTTGTTTCAGGTCACAGAGGTAGTATAACACTCTTTTTTTCTTTCTTTTTCAGGTCACAGAGATGGTATAACACTTCTAATTGTTGTTTCAGGTCACGGAGGTGGTATGTTCTTTCTACTTGTTGTTTCAGGTCACAGTGATGGTATAACACTTCTAATTGTTGTTTCAGGTCACAGAGGTGGTATGTTCTTTCTACTTGTTGTTTCAGGTCACAGTGATGGTATAACAGTTCTAATTGTTGTTTCAGGTCACAGAGGTGGTATGACCTTTCTATTTGTTGTTTCAGGTCACAGTGATGGTATAACAGTTCTAATTGTTGTTTCGGGACACAGAGGTGGTATAACAATTTTAACTGTAGAAGGTGGGGTAACGCTTCTGATTGTTGTTTCAGGTCACAAATGTGGCATAACCCTTAAATTTTTTATTTCATGTAACAGAGATGGTCTAACCATTCCGAATGTTGTCTCAGGTGACAGAGGTGGTTTAACCCTTCTGAATGTGGTTTCAGATCACAGGTGGTCTAACCATTCCGACTGTTGTCCCCGGTCACACAGGTGGTATAATCCTTCTGAATGTTGTTTCAGATCGAAGGTGGTATAACCCTTCTGAATGTTGTTTCCGATCACAGGTTGTATAACCCTTTTGAATGTTGTTTCCGGTCACAGGTGGTATAACCCTTCTGAATGTTGTTTCCGGTCACAGGTGGTATAACCCTTCTGAATGTTGTTTCCGGTCACAGGTGGTATAACCCTTCTGAATGTTGTTTTAGGTCACAGAGGTGGTGTTACCATTCTGATTGTTGTTTAGGTCACAAAGGTGGTGTTACAATTCTGATTGTTGTTTAGGTCACAGAGGTGGTGTTACCATTCTGATTGTTGTTTAGGTCACAGAGGTGGTGTTACCATTCTGATTGTTGTTTAGGTCACAGAGGTGGTGTTACCATTCTGATTGTTGTTTAGGTCACAGAGGTGGTGTTACCATTCTGATTGTTGTTTAGGTCACAGAGGTGGTGTTACCATTCTGATTGTTGTTTAGGTCACAGAGGTGGTGTTACAATTCTGATTGTTGTTTAGGTCACAGAGGTAGTGTTACCATTCTGATTGTTGTTTAGGTCACAGAGCTAGTGTAACCATTCTGATTGTTGTTTAGGTCACAGAGGTGGTATAACCATTCTGATTGTTGTTTAGGTAACAGAGCTAGTGTAACCATTCTGATTGTTGTTTAGGTCACAGAGGTAGTGTAACCATTCTAATTGTTGTTTAGGTCACAGAGGTAGTGTAACCATTCTGATTGTTGTTTAGGTCACAGAGGTAGTGTTACCATTCTGATTGTTGTTTAGGTCACACAGGTGGTATAACCATTCTGATTGTTGTTTAGGTCACACAGGTGGTATAACCATTCTGATTGTTGTTTAGGTCACAGAGGTAGTGTTACCATTCTGATTGTTGTTTAGGTCACACAGGTGGTATAACCATTCTGATTGTTGTTTAGGTCACACAGGTGGTATAACCATTCTGATTGTTGTTTAGGTCACACAGGTGGTATAACCATTCTTATTGTTGTTTAGGTCACACAGGTGGTATAACCATTCTGATTGTTGTTTAGGTCACAGAGGTAGTGTTACCATTCTGATTGTTGTTTAGGTCACACAGGTGGTATAACTATTCTGATTGTTGTTTAGGTCACACAGGTGGTATAACCATTCTGATTGTTTCAGGTCACAGAGGTAGTGTTACCCTTCTGATTGTTGTTTCAGGTCACAGAGGTGGTGTTACCCTTCTGATTGTTGTTTCAGGTCACACAGGTGGTGTTACCATTCTGATTGTTGTTTCAGGTCACAGAGGTAGTGTTACCCTTCTGATTGTTGTTTCAGGTCACAGAGGTAGTGTTACCATTCTGATTGTTGTTTAGGTCACACAGGTGGTATAACCATTCTGATTGTTTCAGGTCACAGAGGTAGTGTTACCCTTCTGATTGTTGTTTCAGGTCACAGAGGTAGTGTTACCATTCTGATTGTTGTTTAGGTCACACAGGTGGTATAACCATTCTGATTGTTTCAGGTCACAGAGGTAGTGTTACCCTTCTGATTGTTGTTTCAGGTCACAGAGGTAGTGTTACCATTCTGATTGTTGTTTAGGTCACACAGGTGGTATAACCATTCTGATTGTTGTTTCAGGTCACAGAGGTAGTGTTACCCTTCTGATTGTTGTTTCAGGTCACAGAGGTAGTGTTACCATTCTGATTGTTGTTTAGGTCACACAGGTGGTATAACCATTCTGATTGTTTCAGGTCACAGAGGTAGTGTTACCCTTCTGATTGTTGTTTCAGGTCACAGAGGTGGTGTTACCCTTCTGATTGTTGTTTCAGGTCACACAGGTGGTGTTACCCTTCTGATTGTTGTTTCAGGTCACAGAGGTAGTGTTACCATTCTGATTGTTGTTTAGGTCACACAGGTGGTATAACCATTCTGATTGTTTCAGGTCACAGAGGTAGTGTTACCCTTCTGATTGTTGTTTCAGGTCACAGAGGTAGTGTTACCCTTCTGATTGTTGTTTCAGGTCACAGAGGTAGTGTTACCATTCTGATTGTTGTTTAGGTCACACAGGTGGTATAACCATTCTGATTGTTGTTTCAGGTCACAGAGGTGGTGTTACCCTTCTGATTGTTGTTTAGGTCACAGAGGTAGTGTTACCCTTCTGATTGTTGTTTCAGGTCACAGAGGTAGTGTTACCCTTCTGATTGTTGTTTCAGGTCACAGAGGTAGTGTTACCATTCTGATTGTTGTTTAGGTCACACAGGTGGTATAACCATTCTGATTGTTGTTTCAGGTCACAGAGGTGGTGTTACCATTCTGATTGTTGTTTAGGTCACACAGGTGGTATAACCATTCTGATTGTTGTTTCAGGTCACAGAGGTGGTGTTACCCTTCTGATTGTTGTTTAGGTCACAGAGGTAGTGTTACCATTCTGATTGTTGTTTCAGGTCACAGAGGTGGTGTTACCCTTCTGATTGTTGTTTCAGGTCACACAGGTGGTGTTACCATTCTGATTGTTGTTTCAGGTCACAGAGGTAGTGTTACCATTCTGATTGTTGTTTCAGGTCACAGAGGTAGTGTTACCATTCTGATTGTTGTTTCAGGTCACAGAGGTAGTGTTACCATTCTGATTGTTGTTTCAGGTCACAGAGGTGGTGTTACCCTTCTGATTGTTGTTTCAGGTCACAGAGGTAGTGTTACCATTCTGATTGTTGTTTCAGGTCACAGATGTGGGTGATGCCCTTCATCCTTGTGAATGCCCTGTTGACTGTTGTAATATTCATATCATCCTGTATGATCAGTGTGGGCTTCAAGGAGTTCTGTGACGGCCTGCTCCGAGGCACAGATAAGGGTGCTACTGTCAATAGGTGAGCATGCAGTTTTATACAGAAATATACCTGGGCCGAAAACCTGAAACAGAAATCAACCTGGTCCGAAATCCTGATACAGAAATGTACCTGGGGCAAAATCCTGATACAGAAATGTACCTTGGCCGAAATCTTGAAACAGAAATGTACCATGGCCGGAGTCCTGATACAGAAATGAACCTTTTCTGAAGTGATACAGAAATGTACCTTGGCCAAAATCCTGATACAGAAATATACCTTGGCCGAAGTCCTAATACAGAAATGTACCTTGGCCAAAATCCTGAATACAGAAATGTACCATGGCCGGAGTCCTGATACAGAAATGAACCTTTTCTGAAGTGATACAGAAATGTACCTTGGCCAAAATCCTGATACAGAAATATACCTTGGCCAAAGTCCTGATACAGATATGTACCTTGGCCAACATCCTGTATACAGAAATGTACCTTGGCTAAAATCCTGAATACAGAAATGTTCCTTGTCCGAATTCCTGATACAGAAATGTATTATGGCCAACATCCTGTATACAGAAATGTACCTTGTCCGAAGTCATGCTGCAGATATGTACCTTGCCAGAAGTCATGCTGCAGAAATGTACCCTGACTGGCCATGGCACAGCCCTGGACAGGCTGGTTTGGTCCAATCAACTGGATTGGTGACCAGTTTTGTCTGTATCCAACCTTTACTTAAAATTGATATGACAACTAACCACTCAAGTATCATCCAGCTGGTATAAGCAGCATTACATTGTCTTGTGTTTCCTTCCAGCTGTGCAGATGGCCAGAGGTGGAACTGGAACAAATTCGGCACCAACTACACGACTGACACCTATTTCACCTATCTCACAGTGACTCAGGTGGGTTCATGCAACAGTAGGAGTGTCACAAAGCAGGAAACTGATGTACACTAACACCTGGCAATAAGTTGTGAGGAGTCTGGGCCCCGTTCTATAAAGTGATAATAGCAATCGTAAAAGTCTGAAAATGCAAAAACAATTATACTGATATCTGCAAATAGTATTAGTTTATTAGTATTTTGTTTTGCATTGCTACACTAAATAGTGCCAAAGAGATTTACTGTTTAATAGGTCAATAATTATTATTGAAACATCTGTCATGTCTAATAGACCATAATTCACTGTGCAGAGTTGTGTCCCTTGGGGGTGCCTGAGACATATCGTAGTTTTAAATCCAAATTTTCCCTGATTATGTTTCTAGGTTTGTCAGCACCAACACCCTGGACTTGCATCCCTTCAGACTTTCCTCTCACATTAGGCAGACACATCCTGATAGAACTGAGATACTGTTCAAAGCGGCTTTAAATCAAACTCACTCATTCTATCAAGCCAAATTAATTGTGAAGAAAGCGAAGGCATTTGAAAATATAGGATGTTGATGTTGACATGTCGCTACATAGAGTATATGTGAAAATCCGGGGTAAAATAGGTCAACCCATGCTTGCCGTAAAATGCGACTATGCTTGTGGTAAGAGGAAACAGACTCGCTGACTTGGTTGATGCTTGTCATCGTATCCCAATTGCGTGGGTCGAATCTCATAATATTAATCACTGGATTGTCTTGTCCAGACTTGATTATTTACAGACTGGACTATTCATATAGCTGGAATATTGCTGAGTGCGGCGTTAAACCATAAACAAACAAACAAACAAACAAATGCTACACAGAGCTGTTCCATAATGTTTTCCAAATTGATTCACGATTAGGAACTTACTGCACTAACAACCCTGCCATCATGTTAATAAATCGTAATTCCACGAAAACTGCAACACAGTTCACTTCAAACTCTTGCCTTCAAATACTTTTATTTTCTATGAGGCACCTTTCAAAGACATCCTGTTTGGTTGGAATCATTGAGAAGGTACAGAGTTTGGTCGCCATTGTGGAGCGCAATGGCGGATAAAAAAATCTTTATTGGTCCGCTTACACAACGTGCTAAGTAATATTTTTCTTTTATTGTTGCACGATCTCAAATAAAAGTACTTGTATTTGAAGGCAACTGCCTTACTAAGTGAATCAGCAGTACAGAGATATTGTTACCACAGCCAGTTGCAGAAACTGTAATCACCTTCCTTTCGTTATGAAGTGGACATTGATGTTACAGTATGCAGGGCCCTGTCTCTTCAGTTTTACTAAAGTTGCTTAGATACTGGCGCATGTGAAACCTCACTTACTTCAGAAATGTTATATACCGTATTCGACGTAATAAGCGCCCCGCTCTAATAAGCGCCCACGGCGATATTTGCTTACATATTGGCTAGTGAACAATCCCAATTAGCACCCCTTCCGATTGATCAATGTACACAACACTTATTTATTCGCGTATAATACGCACTCGTGTCTTACATGCACCCTTAATTATGGGCAATTAAATTCTGGAAAATATATCTGTCGTATATAAACATTTCAGGCTGTCAGCATAAACCACGAAATTTATCCTTTAACTCTGTTTTTTTCACCAAAATAATATTCTAATAAGAGCCCCCTATTTCTAATTTTGAGAGCGCCCTGGGCGCTTATTACGTCGAATACGGTAACTCAATTATTTCATCATGAAAAATGAAACAAACAATGACATATAGGTAACAGCCAGGACCAGGTGTCTATCATTTCAATGGTTTTTAGAGTCTGAGGTGAGGTTTGCCAAGGACACTAACTAACCATTTCAATGATTAGACACCATGGTCCTTTTTAAACCATGTCAAACATTTATAGCACCTAAAATGCTTAAAAAACAGTGTTTTGTTAAATGCATTTTGAAAGATATTCAGGAACTTTATTCTCATTGTGAAAACACTGTGTGAGTTGGCCCTGTGTGATGCTTGTGAAATATGTTCCCCGAGCCTTTCGCACGTGCACCTTGCTCTTTGCCAACTGGACCATTTTGGACCAAATCGAGCACGTTTATCAATCACCAACAAATAACTTGACTATCCTGATGGGCCTATTGTGAGCAAACATAGCCCTTATCAAGATAATATTAATTTCTTGTCCCCCGCCGCGCGAAAGCGCGAAGCGGGGGATATAGTATTCACGACCGTCCGTACGTCCGGCCGTACGTCCCACCTGTTTGTTGCCGCGATATCTCAAGAACTAAACTCTGGGTTGTCTTCATATTTGGAACTATGGTGTATATACAGACTCCGCAGACACCAGTCGGTTTTGGTGACCTTGACCCCATTTTCAAGGTCACAGCAGGCAAATCTGCTTTTGGAGTTGGAAAACGGTGTTGCCCCGATATCTCAAGAACCAAACACTGGATTGTCTTCATATTTGGAACTATGGTGTATATACAGACTCCGCAGACATCAGTCGGTTTTGGTGACCTTGACCCCATTTTCAAGGTCACAGCAGGCAAATCTGCTTTTGGAGTTGGAAAACGGTGTTGCCGCGATATCTCAAGAACTAATCACTGGATTGTCTTCATATTTGGTACTATGGTGTATATATAGGCGGGGGACATTTCGTCACTTTGTGACAAATACTTGTTTTCTATCTATTCGTTTCGTTGAATCAAAAGCTACCAAATCACAAGTACCCATAAATACTACAATGCATTGAGTAACATACTGTATAAAAACTACATAAAACACATATTTCGCTGTTGATAAACGGATAAACAATTAGTCCTGATGTAAGTAAATATTCCGTGGCAGAATATTATATTCATTAGCCTTCAGTGATGGGTTCGTATCCTGCTTGCAACACAAGTTTTCGTGAAATTGTTATATAATCAATATAAATGATCAGGAAAAAAGAAGTTCCATCATTGTCAAGTGGTGTTTAACTAACACTTCAGTTAGTACAGTCAGAGTCATGGCCAGAGACAAAGGAACAATAGTTTAAAATCAATTAGTGTACACTGTGCGAGCTCTGATTATCTGATTTTGGGTAAGAACATAGCAACCCATGCTTGTTGTAAGAGGCGACTAAATGGATCAGTTGGTCAGGTTTGGTGGCTTGGTTGATGGCATGTCATCGTATCCCAACTGTGTGGATTGGTGCTCATGATGTCAATCACTCGATTGTCTGGTCCAGACTTGATTATTTACAGACCGCCATCATATAGCTGGAATATTGCTGAGTTTGCCGTTAAACTTCAAACAAACAAAAATCAAAGACCGATGTGTGTTTGTTCTTCACAGACTGCTACATGGATATCGTTCCTGGTTTGGGCAGCTCAGGTCATCCTGGGAATATTCCGATTTGTTCGGAACCGGCGCTTGCGATCTAAAGACCAGTTCCAAGACCCAGCACCCAGCATAGATTCGCCAAACAAGACACCATCAGACTTGGAGAACTTTGCATCGGTACAACCTTCAGCGTGATGCTAGTTTCAGATAATTACGTGACACCATCTCAAGCATGGTGGCTAGTAGGAGGATAACGATACCCCTACCTCGCGTATCAACACATACTGCGATACTTGAGTCATGACATGATATGTATTGCAATACTTGGTTTGTGCTGTGTTTGTGTGAACTTCACATTCCATGTGGCCTGGCTAACAAGTGGTTGAACTGTCAACCAGCTTATATTTAACTTGGGTTAAATTGATGATAATATTCTGTTTTGTGATAGCGGACGGGCCTAAGGGTAATGCTAACCTGAGTAGTTATCAGGCTGGCTTGTTGCAAACAGCCAACCAGCTTATATATATCTTGGGTTAAATTGATAAGACTCGTTTTTATTATGATAATATTCTGTTTTGTGATAGCGGACGGGCCTTAGGGTAATGCTAACCTGAGTAGTTATCAGGCTGGCTTGTTGCAAAAAGATACTGCGTTAACCCTCAGGCTGCCATATAGAAATATCCTGTGCACTATCGCTGTGCTGAGTTTTCTTGCGACGTTTGGAAAAATGCATACCTTCGTCTAAAAACTACACAACATTACAACGGCAAAACCCACAATTTCCAAATTTCACACTATAACAGTTCAATAATATCTCTAACTTATTATGTAAATATTATAACGCTTTAACTTGATTATGGGTATATAATATTTATTGCAAAAGTGAAGTTTAACAAAATGTCCAGGGTGACTATTTTGTTCACATTGCACATTGGGTCATTAGTGCGTTTCATCAGGTTCTCTCATGAAAAGTACTGCAAAGCGATCTTCAGCTTCAGCTGCCATTTTGTGTAAGGTTTCAGCAAAGCAGTTGTGGCACCTTTTGTGTTTTTGCAGACTTTGAGGTTTAAGAAGCGTTAATGGAATATCTAAGCATTCATATCAATATGAAAAATGGCAATGTTTAACGCAGACTGTTGTTTACAGATGTCAGTATGTATGTATGACTGAAGGATTGTTTTGTATCACACTTTGTGACTCGATGTGAGCAACATTATCTTGTACAAATACAGGGGCGGTCGAATAGCCTAGTTGTTAAAACGTTCACTCGTCACGTCGAAGACCTGGGTTCGAATCCCGACATGGGTACAATGTGTGAAGCCCATTTCTGGTGTCCCCCGCTGTGATATTGCTGGAATATTGCTAAAAGCGGCGTATAACCATACTCACTCACTCACTTGTACAAATACAGAGAAGAAAAAAGTAACTGCGGGACAATTGTCCAGATGGCATCCAGGGGGTTAAAACATGAACTGGTACATGGGTAGGCGTATTGTGTATTATACTGTCAGGTGGATATTCATGATGGATCTTTAGTGGCTAGAACATGAAATATAAAAAAAATTATCTATTTTTTACAATGTTCATGTGTACTTATTTACAAAATTAGATTGTCCAAAAAATATTTTCATCAGTATTGTAGGCAAATGTTATAACATGTTCTGGATAAATGACTTTGTTCAAAGTTTATTGTAGTTATTAGAGTAGTGATGGCAATTCATTGTGCAGAGTTGTTCCCCTTAGGTGTGGCAGAATCTTATGACTATGGGTTTGAATCCCAGATCCGCGCTGATCGTGATGTCAGCACCATACCTGTGCTCAGGGTTTTTTGCCATCTTAAACCTACATCACTTGGGGCTTTCTTCCCACATCAAGCTCACACGCCATGATATAACTGAAATACTGTTCAAAGTGACTAACCAAAACTCACTCACTTTTAGAATAAAACTTATTTGTGATGTATGCCCTAACGATTGTTTTGTCCATATACAAAATGTGCAAATAATCAAACATAGATTTGTTGCAGGGGTAGCTTCCCTGCACTATTCAGCAATAATCATGATGTTGTATTTCACATGTCTCGACACATTTAAAGGGTTTTTTAAGCCCCTCTACTTCAGGCACATACTACTTACCTGTGTTACTTTCACACAACTGTCACAACTTGTTTGTATTACTGGCTTCGTCCCAGACTGGGTTACGGGTGTCATGTGAAGCTTCGTTGAATATTAACGCATTTATTTTTTAAAATTATTTGTATCATGAAAATTGGCAAAACGTATGATTATTTTTGTCTTGCATTAGGACTTAGTGAAAACTTCGAGCTCATTGACATAACTATATGACATGACACTTTTACACTGACAGTGAATAGATGGAAATAGTTGTTCTTGGTTAGTATGTTTTAGACTTGTGTATTTTGGGGGAATAAGAACTGCCTCATTCTCAGACAGTGTTATCATGGTTATGGTTGTAGGCTTAGATTCCTGTAAGTTTCCCACACCTGTTTGAATTACTACATAACTCAGTGACAAATATAGGAGAGTTTCAGTATATTAATGTCACTATTTCTATATGTGTTGTGTCCCTGTTGATGTGTTCACGGTCGAAAGGTAAGAAACATTATACAAGCAGGCAATATCTTGTTTTGGTGTAGAAATTTGGACAGCCTGGTTGTCAAAGTAATTATTTGATATTTGTTATTGTTATTTTTAGTTATTGTAATTAAGGGGAAAATGAGATGTTGAAGTGTTTGTGTGAATCACCCCATATTGCTGTAGTTTAGTCCATGAAGCTTTCTTTTTTTTTGTCACAAATGTTTTCAAATGTTCTATATATATATGCCCATATTTTATTTTTGTTAGTGTTAAGTCATAATACTGTATGTCAAGTGTGATATGTCATACATCCACTATACATTTGTGAATAGATAATAATGTCCTTTTATCAAGGATATACTGAAGATCAAAAGAAGCTTCTCAAGGTCCCTTATTTCCTGCGATCAGCATATCTGCATATACTTCTTATTAGCTCAGAAATGTAGTATGAGTATTATTCCATGTCTTGAAATACATGAAGAAAACAAGGATGTAATACTTAAACATGTACTAACAAGCAAAAGTAACTGTGATCATAATTTATTGATAACTGGAAATTTGTCTTCTACCTGTACTCAACAAAACACTTGTCAGTACTGTGAAGAGGTTCTGGGATGACAATTTTGGAGTTTTGGCATTAAAAAAGAATGTTTTCCAATGTTCTTTACTTTTCCAACTGCTATACATCGCGTATGGGGAATGTGAAATAATCATACATTCACCATAATTTGTGTTTAAAAATATTTATTAGCGCAATATTAAATTTTTGTTCAATTTTATTGTAATATACATATAGAATACTGAACGAGCTCCCGTGTAATACCAATTTTATGAAACGAGTGAATAGTTGTGGTATCTGACGAGCGAAAGCGAGTCAGATACCACAACTATTCACGAGTTTCATAAATTGGTTTTACACGGGAGCGAGTTTAGTATTTTATTTATTACTTGCAATTTATAACGTTTTTTTAATTATACTGTTGAGTATGAATAGGCTGACACCTACATGATCCACGACATAGTCCAATTGAGTTTAACAGAATAATACTTCAAACACGTCAAAAGTTGAAACGTATGAATTTCATACCATGCAACGGGTCTACCTTTAGAATTCACAAAATTATCGTAGGGCTAAGACTTTCGCATCTCACATACTTTAACTTAGACCAACAACTGTCGTTGCGCTACAATACGATCGTCTTGTGGAACGGGCCTTGCACCTCAAAGTTTTCAATAACGTCACAATACCCGATGACGTAATTTGTGGAATTTTGATGCAAGATCCATCGGCGAAACAATGCCATGTGACGTCAGCCTAGCAACAAGGTTGCTGGGGTCATCGAGTGTGCATAAGCTCCTCTCAGTGATCTATCAACTCCACACGCAATGTCGTTGAATAAGCCAAGAGATGTTGAGAGCTTTCAATATTTGTTCGTGAAACGTGTTCCGAGAGTACATAAGCACGCGTTTTGGTATTACACAATGTGTAATAAAGCTATATGTTTATTAAACGGGTGATCTCTTCACGGGCAAGTAATAAATATATATATCAAAAGCTTTTCTTGTTCACTGTCACCCCAACACACTTGAGGTCTTCAAAGTTTTCACTTATGTGCTTGTAAAGAGTCAATACAAAAGAACATCACAGTTACTTTTACCTTTGAGCATGTGCAGTACCGTTAAGTTATTATTGGCAATATATCTGCATGATATATAATAATATATAGTATGTATGTACACCCATATACCATATATTACAAGTTTATAGCATCATTGTTATTAGAGGAAAACTGTTTGTAAACTAGTTCACTTACATTTGAAATTGTTTTGTTTGTGTATATATTGTTTTTCAATTTGTTATCGGTTGTTTGTAATAAATGCTCTTAAGTCAATGATGAGACTCATGTCAATCAGGCAGCCCTCACTACCGGGTTTATATCACAACTTAAAACAGAAGCAGTTTTAATGACATTTAATGGTTTCCTTGTTATAGTATTGAAGTTATAACAGAGGGACATTATGAGACATGGGATACACTTCGAGACAGTCATATTTGTGATGTTACTGTGAGCTGCATTAAATCAGCTATTGGTCACATGGACGCCTATTACCACCTCAGTAGAAAACAAGAATAAGAGTTTACTGTAGATGTGTTAATGTCAGTTTAAAGTTCATATGAATTAATGTTGATGCTTTTATTGATTGGTGCGTTCAGGAATTTGTGCTTGTTATGGGATTCATGCGCCTTGTTTGAAGCAATTGTTATGCTAACTTTCTGCATGTTTTAATGTGATTCTGAATTGAGGTCACATGGTTGTTTGGTTGAGGATGTGACTTGTTATCTATGCATTTCATTTTTATCGAAACTTTTTGATAAACTGTCAAAGATATTTTTGTGTCATCAAGATAATATTTTGTGATGATCTTGGACATGAGAGATCTATTTTGTATTTTATACAAATCTGAAAACATCAAAATATTGTAGGTGCTTCTAGATGATCAGAGAATACAGCAGTTGATTATGGTTGCACATGTGCAGTATATAGATGGAGTGTGTTTCATTGAAAGTAGATGTTTTCCAGCTTGTGTTCTTTGCACATGTTACACTATTTGTCTCTCTATATTTTTTCTTCAATCTTATGTCTTCTTATATTTGAAGGCGGTACGGCCTTGTGTCATTTTGGTTGGTTCACATGACCGACCACAAAAATATAATTAGGAAAAAAGCAGACTTTTAACTGAAAGAATATAGGTTGACCTTGAGCTACATTTAAGTGAAAAGAAAGAGTAATTCTGACAAAAAAAATTAATTAATTAAATTTAATTACTTCCCACGTTGAAACCTGTTTGTTTTCTCTCATTGGTAGCAATACAAATCTGGAAGTTGAAAATTACTGTCTATTGTTTTCTGACCTCCTAGATTGAATTCTAGGCCAACAATTTTGTAAACGAACTAATAAATAATAAGAAGTATCTACGGAAATTTTGGCTATCCAGTTGGATGCTGTCACATGTTGCACTGGACTAATGGAAATACAGGTAGCAGGGGTCCAGGCACACCAATATGAGATCAGTATGAAACAAGGGTTATTCCGGGCACCCCATCCTCGATTGTCCGGGGTATTATATCTCCATTCAGTTATGATAAATACCCTGGGGCAATTTGCCACAAAAGCTTAGTTTTGGAATTGATGTCACCATCTCGATCTCTCTTATTACTATTATCTTGTAATTTGAATCAAGTTTATATTGAAGTTTATGTCAAATGGGTCCAGCGTATTATCATAATAGAAAGGAGATATGATTCCCTGTATAATCGAGGGTAGAGTTCCTGGAACTGTAGGCTATAGAATATGGTCAGATATTTGATATTAGTCATGTGCCACTATTATACTACATTGTGACCATATGTATTCATTCAATGTATACAAAGCTGTGAAGTACCATATATCCTGAATTAATACTGGGCCTCGATTAAACGCAAGGCCCAGATAAAACACAAGGTAGTTGCGATTAAATGCCGGGGGTAAGGAGTGTCTGAAAGAAATATAAATGCCAGGGCATTTAATCGAGGAAATATGGTATTGACAATGTTCTTGATGATGATGTGTACATTTCTATGTTGATGCTGTATATGGTGTATTGACATTGTCTCCGTGAGAGAGATTCTCATACTCTCTCATCTAGTCTGTATTCACTTTGAATCAATAACCTTTTGTGATTATAAATGTAATTTTATTTAATAGTAGTATTTTCAACTGATTCAAATGCTCAAAATATTGCTGCAAGCATTCAATGTATGTGTACATATATGTTTTATAGAAGGAATCTGTTGCTTTACAATACTGATAATCTGATAATAATTAAAATGTCAATAAATACTCGAACACTGATGACCTCTAAAAAAGCAATACCGTATTCGACGTAATAAGCGCCTAGTGCGCTCTCAAAATTAGAAATAGGGGGCTCTTATTAGAATATTATTTTGGTGAAAATAACAGAGTTGAAAGATAAATTTCGTGGTTTATGCTGATGGCCCGAACTGTTTATATACGACAGGTATATTTTCCAGAATTTAATTGCCCATAATTAAGGGTGCATATAACACACGAGTGTGTATTATACACGAATAAATAAGTCTTGTGTACATTGATCAATCGGAAGGGGTGCTAATTGGGATTGTTCACTTGCCAATATATTAGCAAATATCGCCGTGGGTGCTTATTAGAGCAGGGCGCTTATTACGTCGAATACGGTATATTACTTTTGTGCTACATGTATCACTAATTTTGTTGCGGTGGATAATCTTGAAGCACATGTAGTATGCTATGAAACCCAGTTGACCCATACCCCATTGGCCTTGAAACTTTGCCTCCAAATTTTCCAGACAGTTTTGCTTGGGAATGGCTTGATCAATCTCCAAAGGGACATTACTCCATACTCAGGAATCATTAATCTGTGAATTTTTGAATTTGTTCAATTTAAGAAGGCCGTGCTGTCTGGATATTAACAGTGATTGACAGTAATCCTGTTGTAGGACTGTAGGTCATCCAGAAGAAAACCAAATGCTGGTAATGTTTTAAATGCTCCAGTAACCTTGTAACCTATGTAAGTGTCTGGTGCACTTATTTTGTCGAATACGGTAATACTTCTTTTCTTTGTATTCCAGTTTTTGCTGTATTTTTAAACTGTAGCTGAGGAAGGATTGTGATTGGGAATGGAATTACTCTGGTATATTTATATATAGATATATATATATACAATTGACACATTATTTGTGCATTAATAATTCAAGTCATCTTTCAATATCAAAAAGTTTTTAATACAAAAGTATTGATTTTTATAGAAATGATAAATTATACAAAATAGTATTGATTTTATAGACATGATAAATAATACAAAATAGTATTGATTTTATAGAAATGATAAGTAATACAAAATTGTATTGATCTTATAGAAATGATACAAACTTGCTGCTGAAGTATTGTTGTAGCGTGTGCGAATCCTGATTCCTATGGTAATGGGTTACATGGTGCAATGGTTGGAGTGAAATGGTTAAAGTTGAGTAGGCAAGTTAAGAGAGAGCTTGACACAGCTGTGTTATTGGAGTGAACAGAGTACAAGAATAATACAGAAACCAGTTACTTCTGATATTTGTTCAAGCGATGGTAGTAACATGAATAACCCTTAACATTGCTGGAGTGTTCAGTACATGGAACCAGGGAGTTATCTAGACCTTCTCAGAGAACAATATTCTGGCTGAAGTCTACAGCAAATTTCAGTAGAAATTCCCCAGTTAGTATGTTGTTTGGTTATATCCAGTGATAACTAATGTTTTGTATGGGTCATTACATGCACCATCTGTCTCAGGCATGGAAACAATTTGTGATTTTTTATTTATGATCATGAATATCAGGCTCAGCATTGAGGCACCACCTGCATCATCATAAAGTCTGCCGCACGTTTTGTTTTTATTTCCATTTTCAAAAAAATATAAAAATCCTAATACTAAAACACAATGCACAAAAAAAAATGGAAAATGGAAACAAAAACAAAACGTGCAGTGAACTTTATGATGATGTGGGCAGTGCCTGAGAATTTTTTTTAGCCAAAACAAAAACATATTTACGCATTCCCGTGTTAGTGCTGATTGATCCATAAAATAAGTTATAATTAATAAAAGACCTGTGTTGTTTGGTGCAAACACTATAGTTGATATTTGTGAACAAGAAGGTTTGAGTTTATTGTACATCAAGACTCACTTAAAATGTTTATAATTCTAGTGAATAC